GGAAAAAAAAAAGAATACTTTAAGGGCAATAAGGCACCAAAATATGATCTTAAGAAATCTAATCACAATTTTTTTTTTCTGGCTCTGAGGGGAATAAGATAGCTTTAAAGACAAAACAAAGCATGAAGTTTCTTATTGGTGGTGGCTGAATCTTCCCTTAGTCACCTAATCTATTATGGGACAAAATGGCCCAAGATGAAGATAAGCAAAAATCTTATACCAAGAGGGTTCATGAGCACTCTACTACCATATCCACCTTTAATTATTCTTCTTTATGTTGGAGGTAGGATAGGCCTTTATCAAATACCTCAATGACCCACCCAACTAAACTGCATCAGACGGGAGCCATCCAGAGGTAGTACGGGGGCCAGCTGCTGCCTTCCTCCCCACACACCTGCCCACAGCTGCTGGGTGAGCCCAGACTTCCCCACCGAGCTCACCGCTGCCTCTCAATCCCCCAGCACGACGATAAGCTACTATCACAGCAGAAGCTGGCAGGTGCGACAGAGCTCCCCTGCTGCTCGGCCTCAGGCCTGGACAGCTGTGTTATTTAGGTCAAGGTACCTCTTTCAGGTGGTTTCCCAGCCTGTGGACTGGAGACACCACCACCAAGCTGACAGCAGTGTCGGAAGGATTAAATGAAGAATGTCTGTAAAGTGTCTGACATGTAGAAAGTATTCAGTAAATATTTATCTAGTGCTGAAAATAAAGCTTATGGAGGAAAGACGGGCAATTCCAAATCAAAGTTTAAGACTGTGGAAAGACAGACAAAACCAAACTGTGGTCCAGGCAGAGCTTCACAATGGCTGTGCCGGGAATGGCTTCCTGGTTTGGCCAAGTGACCCTAAGGTTCATTGTCTAACCTGGAACAATTGTGAGAGTTAAGGAGTCACCACTGATAATCATCCCAGGACCACAGACGCAAACAGAGCCACGCTCACCTTAGAAGAGATGTGACAAGATACTGATCCCTCTCAGCCCTCAGGGTAGCACGGCAGAGGCTGCCGTGAGTAAGTCTCCAGTCTCAACACGCTAGCCAAATACTGTCATTGTCTGTGTCTATCAGAGCAAGAAAGAGGTCAGGAAGCATTAGTGTAGGCAACACTTAAATAAAAAGAAGTTTGAAGGGTTAGGCAGCTAGGTACCAGGGCACTGAGCTTGTCCTCAGCTCAGAGCAGCTCCAGTTAATTACGATCACAGAAGACCAGTACGTGTACTTCTCCACAACGTCTGGCCTTAGAGATTACAATGGAAACATTCTGGTAATTGTTTAGGTTTTTAAAGAAGGAACGGTGACAGTCACAACTGCCATACCCCTAGTTGCTTAGAGCAGGTTGCCCTGTAAAGTGAAACTTGTGGTCTGCAACAGCAGAATTTTTATATTCTGTTCTAAGGGGTGTGTATTTTTTCTAGGCCATTACAGGGGAGAGTAAACCAAAGCAGGCAGGCACTACAATGGGGCCTTAACTGCGCCCATTCTCAGAAAGACATCAGAAACTACTTAAAAGGTTTCCACATGAGATTACCACTATCATCTTTCAAGAAGAGGGAAAGGGAGCATGAAGAGAGCTGTGCTCGTTTCACTCTCAGAGGACAACTCTGAAGGTTAACTTGTAAGAGGCCTCGCTGGAGTACAAACTGTGAACTCTTACAGAAAACTTAAACTTATATTTTAAAGCACTTGTGAAGCCTGGGTTTTGTGAAAAGGGAAAGAAGAGACAAAGGACAGCTAAGATTCCTTTCTCCACCACAAAGCACCCCACGGACAAGTTTCTGGCTGCCCTCTGAATCAAGTGAAAATAAAGCACCCACAGCACAGTGCCTGGATTGTTCACTTCTCCCACCCAGACGCAGCTCCGAGGAACTGGGCAGCAGTCTCCTCCACCACAGCTCCTCCTTACCAGCTCAACGGATCTAGTTAGTGCACGGCGTTCAAGAGACCAAAATCCTAAACTTCACCCCCAGAAAGGTTCTAAATTAATTTCTAGAATCAAGAAGATGCTAAAGATAATTATCAAGCCAGTCATCTTGCAAATACGGGTCAGGCTGGTGAGCCGGACGTGATGACTCACACCCTTTTTACCACCGAGGAACCTCCTACTGCCTTTTTCCTGAGCCTGAGGTTTTTTCCTATAATTTTTTAAAAAAGAATGTATCTTTATTTTTTCTATCACTTATTCCATTTCAACACTAATTCAGATTTTAAAACAATGATCTATCATTACCACAGTGCCTATCACAAAATCACATAAGTCTCTGTCACCACCGTGATGACAGGCTGTCGTGTTGCGGAGGAGCAGACTCTCAGGCTCTGCCCCCAGGCCTGCACGAAAGCTGATCTACAGTCGTCTGCAAGGCCCACCACACACTGGAGTGTTCAGTGGGGTGACACAGCCCCCTACAGCCCTGGCAGCAGTGGCCCTACTGGCAAAATCAGGCTGACTAATCAAGCCTCAGAAACCCCTAGAATGCCATCAACAGCCAGAGCTTCTGACTCACGTGGGGTATGCACTGTCAGGACAAGCTGATACAGCTCCAGAAAAAGCATGATGCTTCTGTTTGTCTTTGTAGCCTCGCTGAAGTAGGAATACAATTTCCCTCAGGTTTCTGAAATGCAAAAAATTGCCCCTGGACTGCTGAAGGTCTGAAAGGCCCAGTATGGGACTCACTGGCCTATTCCAAGGCTAACACCATGAAACAGCCAGCTCTACGCCGTCTTAATAAAGCTTCCACCTTCACAGACAAGAAACTATGCATTAAGGCTGGTGAAACACAGAGACGGCCATCAGGTACAGACAAGAGAAAAGCAGAAGGTGTATCAGATGACTCAAGAGAGGTAATAATAGCTAATAATAAAGACTAACACTGAATAAGAGCTCCTTAGGCACTAGGTATTGTGCCAAGTTCTCCGCATGAAGTACCTCATTTAATCCTTACAACATACAGTAAGGGACACACACGAGTAGCCTCATTTTGCAGATGAAGACAACGAGGCTTAGTGATGTTAAGTAACTGGCAACGGGTTACCCAGCCACCAAGTGGAGGCCAGAATGTGTACCCCGTTGGTGTGTGACTCCAGAGACCCGGCCTGCAGCCACTGTGCTGTGCAGCCTCCAAAGGAAAAGAAACTGGCTAAGAGGAAACCAATTTCCAGAAGGACGAGGCTCCTGCTTGTTCTCGCCGACCAAGACTCGCCCACCTACCTTTAATGTCTTAGAACCCACGGTGACGCCTGTCTGCAACATGCCATCTGCGATGCCCAATCGGTCCATGTTCAGGAGGAAAGGAGTCACCAGAGTCACGTATGTGGCTCCTGACCACTTCTTGAGAAAATTTAGAGCCCATGTTTCAGTGGATCCACCAACATTGTCGAGGATAAAGTCAAACCTGGAGAGGAAGAATCAAATTAAACATCCTGGTCAGCCTTTACCCAGGGCTCTGGGTCCCGTTCCCTCCCACCACCAGTTAGTTACAGGGTTTGTTTCCATGACAGCTCACCAACAGCAGAGGGGTGGCTGCTCAGACAAAGGAGAAAAGGGCACACCCACTTACTGGATCTCTGGGTTTTCCCCAAGGTTAAGTCAAATCTGATTTTTTTTTAAATCAGAAAATCATACTATTTTCTAATACTTTAAGATGACTTAAACAAGTGGTTCTCAACTGAGGGTGACTTTTGGCCCCCAGGAGACATATTAGGTAATGTCTAGAGACATTTTTAGTTGTCACAACTGGGCGAGGTGGTGGGAAGAGGTTACTGATATCTGGAGGCCAGGGATGATGATAAACATCCTACAAGGCACAGAACGGCCTCTTATAAGAAGAAATTATCCAGCACAAAATACCAATAGTTGAGAGACCAAAGTTGCTAAGGTTGAGAAACCCCAACTCAGGCTTTACAGAAAAACTGCAAAGCTATCCATGTACTACAAGTCAAAGTATTCTTTAGCGCATGTGAATACTTGAGAGAAATGTATACTCGCTTTTGACCCACATGAATGATTTCCTTTTATTCTCTCCACAATCAGAACTGCCTGTAGAAGCATCCTCTTCACCTTCTGGAATTTTCTATGTGTTGGTTTCATGCACAACATCAGCACAATATATGAAGAGAAATCAACAGCCTGCCCTCCGTCTTCAGTTCTGCTTTAACACGCCAAGAAAAATCCTCTCATAATGGAATCCACAGGAATCGGCAGATACTCGACTCCTTAAGTCTACTTGAAAATTGCTATAATCACTACACTCTACTTAAAGGGGATAAAACTCAACGAAGCTTTAAACTACTTTAAAAACAAACATCTTTTTAGAGAACGCATGCTTATAAATTAAGCAAATTAACAGAGGAATTCCTTTTTGGTAAATCCTTTTTCCCTTCTAAATTGACCTGGATGAAGTCAAACATCAAAGCTTCTAAAACCAGGTCTGGCCAACTATGAGGCTCTGAGTCTTTCATGGGACTAAACTAAAGAAGGGCAAATAAAAATGGAAGGCTGTGAAGTGCAGGAGAATGACCTTACCAGATGACTCTTCTCATTAGAAAAGAACAAAAAATTATTTTTATGAGTTTAATTCTCTACTTAAGTTTCTACTTTTGAAGTTTCTATTTCATTCCCAAGTTTTGGATAAACAAATATGATGACACATAATTTAAACAAAACATAAGGGTGGCCTGGCAGTATAGAGCCAGCACTGCCTGAAAAGGAGGTCCGGGGACCAGGCTGTAGACCCAGCTCTCCCACTAATGATTAAGGGGCATGACCCCGAGCACGAACAAACTCCTAAATCCTTGACCCCTTATTTCCTCAACTATAGCATGACAAAGTTGGACTGAAGGATTTCAAAGCCCTTTTCTGCTGTAAAATTCAAGATTCAAATCTAAAAAGCTGCTGTTTGCAAAGAACAAATTTATTCCAGGTGGATTCAGAGACCAACCTCCAGGCAGAAGTTACAAAGATCAGTTGTAACTAAAGCGGTCATTAAAAAAGTAATGGCCTGCATCGGGGGTACAGCTCAGTGGTGGAGTACATGCTTCAGGTCCTGGGTTCAATCCTAGTGCCTCCGTTAGGGGAGAAAAAAAAAGGTAACGGCCTGCATTTGTGAGCTAGTGAGGTCCCGACTGGGGAGGAGCAAGCAGAAGGAGCAAGACCGCTCATCAGAGAAGAGGAGCAGCAGAGCGCAGTGCAGCATGGGGGGCCGGACCGAGTGCGCTGCGGACTCCACCTGTCAGGGTCTCTTTTCTCTGGCGACAGATTCCAGACAGGCCTAACAGTCCAGGCAGATGGTGGGGGACGGGGTGGCCTTGGCCTCAGTCTCATGCTGCTGTCCTAGAAACAGCTGAAGAGAAGTGACCAACTGAAACCACTATCTGGAAGCCAGCCTTTGGAGGCTCAGAGAGGCCTGGGTCCTGACACAAGGGCAGCCCTGGTCTCTGCCCGAACGCCTCAGGGGCATCCTTAAACCACCCATCTAACACGGCCATCCCCATCACTTCTTCTCCCCTTCCCTGCATCAGTGTCCTTGAGAGCACTAAACACTGCAGTCAACCCGACGAGAATATAAGCCACAGCAGGGGGACTTGCTCATCACTGCATCTTATCCTGTGTGTAGACCACTGCCCGGCAGGGATGGACGACGCTCCATGAACAGCCGCAGGAGCGAGGACTCGGCCAGCTGCCCTGCCGCACAGCCAAACACACACTGCTGGAGAAGAGAGGCTGGGCACTCAGGCAGGGACTCCTTTTTTTAACCCATGAAACCCATACTTCTACTTAGAGTGGGCAAGAATAATTACCTTCTGAAAACTAATTTAAAAAAGGAAAAATACTTTTGAAATAGAAGCAGTAAAATAGCTTTCCAAACACTCCTGAGTTGCACTCTCCACTGCAGATTTGTCTGGGTTGGATGGAGACCAGATTACTAAGCACCCTCTGTTTAAGCCACAGGCAGGGTCGCCAGGGCCTGAAGGAATTCCTGAATCCACTCCTACTTGCTACATTCCGTCAAACCAGAGCCTGGTGTTCAGATGCGCCGAGCGCATCCACAGGCTCCCGGTGCTGACATCTATACCACCTCTGCTTCTCGGAAACCCTCACCATTAAGCCAAAACACTAATCATGCATATCATGCACTGCTCTGTTCTTGGGGTGACAAATGCCACCAAAGGGAATACATTTCCAGTTTTGCCTTCAAACCTCTTACAAACCAGCAATAAAAGTAAGTTAACTTACAAATTAGCAAAGACCACATAAGCAAAGTATCTTCCTTGGCGTGTATCACATTGTATGTCTGTGCTGCATTAACTTCTGGAGTTAAAACAAAAAGCCACCTAAGTGACCTCCAGTGACAGAAAGTGCTTTCACAGATTTTTCTCTAAGATTTCAACATGACCGTTAGGCCACCAACCACCTCAGGCTCCCATTATCAACTGTCTTTGTTCCCACTTTCCCAGGACGAACATTGTGTGAATACATACGGTTTTAAAGATTTCAACTGCTCTTCCATATTCCCGGATTTGTAATCAATTACATCATCTGCCCCAAGCTTCCTTACAAGTTCACTGGCATCCTGAGAGCAAACTGCTGTCACGTGAGCATCCCATGCTTTCATTACCTGCCAAAAACAGAAGAAGAAAAAAAAAGCATGAGGAAGGGGGAAAATAGCAAAACTGCATATTTAAAAAAAATAGTTGGCAACACATATACATATATCAGCCTAATGCTTTGTCTTAGCTAGAACTACAGGAAGCCATCTGTCAGAGACTAGTAAAAATGATTAAACTTTTGTTCATTAAGAAAAATCCAACAACTAGATCTCATTTTTCCTGAATGAGACACCTAGTCGCCTTGCTGTCCCAAAGTTATAACCAGCACAGTTAGAGATGGGCTCAGTGCCTCACCAGCATCAGAAAACACAGGAGCCGATGGCCTTAAGCTTAGTGTTTTCAATGATGACGAAGGTAAATGGAGGGGAAAAAAAAATCATGTCCTCAGAAAATGACTGTTTAAAATGTGTCTAGAATGTAAAAATGCAACCTTCTTTCATTTGCATCTCCAATAAGTGTCAGTACAGTTCTAAGTCAGACAGTTGTATCAAAGCTATCAGGCGCTGGTAATAAATGAAAGGTGCTCTTAAAAAGAGGGCAAGAAAACATGGCCATCTTATTTTCAACACATGGATCAGGTCCTCTCCTTTGGAATAAAAAGACCTAAATAAATAGTTTCTAGGATTTAAAATGCAGACGTTTATTTAAAATAAATAATATATCTAAAAATAACTAGACTTAAATAAAAGAATGAAAGTCTAATGTTATTCAGGATTAAGTTTCCAGAAAGCATCCTGCTCCAAAACTGCTATAATTCTTTTCTTTTTGTTTGTTTGTTTACATAATTATTTATTCAGCTTTTATGCTACTATAATTCTTTTCTATAATGACAATTTCACAGAATTCAAAGGGAGCCATTATCAGCCAAATTTGAGAAGTTACTTGTAGTTTACCAAGCAATTTTCAAATGGACAGTTATAGGTCATAATAAATCATCTGTTTTCTCAGTCCTATCCTGAGTATCAATTTCCTGAGCTTCCTTAATATAAATTGCAAAGGTTTACCAGAATATAAGAGATCTATGTTTATTTTGTTCACTACTGATTCCTCATTCTGTGATACACATAGATGCTAAAGCTCTGTAAAATATAAAAGAAAGAAAGAAAGAAAAGAGAAAAGAAAAAAAAGAAAAGAGAAGAAAAGAAAAGAAGAGAAAAGGAGAGAAAAGAAAAGAAGAGAAAAGAAGAGAAAAGAAAGGATTTTAAAATCACTCATAATCTTATCTAATTTCTCACTTTTAAAAAGTAATGTTGACCAAGGGTTTTTATGCCCTGGATATCTGAGGGGAATTAAAACAGTAAGGACTGACCTCACATACCATATTTTATGTTTATGGGCTACAGAGACACTTGAATATAATGACATGTTGCTTTCAACAGCAAGTCCCAAGCTAAATTCAAATATGTGAAGAATATGAATATAATCCACGATGAACATCCAGAATCTATATAAAAAAAGAAACTGTCAATAAAAAAGGAAACTATGTTTGAAGCACCTACAGTTAATATGTGTTTTCTTTAAATAGTATTAAATCCTCAGGAAGAATCTGTCACATCTTGAAATGATTCAATTAATTTTTTCCGAATTTCTAGTTTTCCCTCTCCTATGTAGAACTATCTAGCATCTTTGTGCACTATTAAAAGGTTTTAAAACAACTTTAGCTTTAAAAAATATTTTATGTAAAAACACAAGCATAGAAAATGCTTATATGGCAGACACTACTCGGACAGAGATGGCAAGCTGGCAGTCATTCCAAAAGCTCTTCCACGTGCCCCCGCCCAACACAAGCCCCTCCCTCCCCTGAAGTCATCATTATCCTGACATTTATAGTAATCACCTCCTTGCATTTTAAAAAAATGGTTTTATCACCCAAATACGCATTCCCTAGATACCATGGTTTAGTTTTGTGCCTTTTTAAAATATGATGTCTTTCAAGTCTTTTAAAAATAATCCTATAGGCTCCTCTTCTATCCTTTCACTTTGACCTATATAGTTTCCCAGTGGAAACTCTGGAATTTCTGGTTGCACACTCGGGACAGTTCCACATGCTGCTCTGTCCTCTGTATTTGCTGTTTCAATCCCTTTAGCATCTGACAAAATTATAGGAGGCACAGCATGTCTGGATGTTGCCTCTTTTTATAATCTTAGCAGCTGTCTTTTGGTGGTTGCAAAATGGTGATACTCTCTCTCCTTTCTTCATTTGGAATACTTTTATAAAGAAACACCTCCGCTCATATGCTATTTTGTTTACTCAGGTGTGTGTACAGTTCATATAAAAAAGGCAAATAACTGTTTCCCCCTTTACAGTTTATAAAATAATAAATTGGTTTCCTATCATCTTCCAAAAGTGACCATTTTAAAAAATATATATATCATCATGAACTCATGGTTTAAATATAAATTACAACCCATTGTAATTATCATTATTATTATTGAAGCTCAAGTTGTCTTCCTTGACGCTCTTTGGGAGTTTCTTCAAGTTGGATCCTGAATCTTTGTGACTCACTAGTCTGTACTAGTTTCCTTGCTACTTCATATATTCCAGGTTCATTCTTAGACATTTTGTGCCACAGATCTAGAATCTGCTGTTTCTCCTGCATTTTTTTTTTTTTTGGTGTGTGTGTGTGAACGATATTTCAAGAGATAGTTTTACATACACATGTATACAAAATACCTCGAGTTCACGCTGATACTTTCAATTCAAATTCCACACTACCAAGTTTTACTTAACCTCTTTTCTGTTACATCTGTATCTCCGTTCTTCCATACCTAAAATCCTGGTTGTCACAGACAACAGGGGATAACAGAATTAAAATATACCATAAATATCCATTTGTTCTACTGTATATTACACACATAACAGTCTCTGAATAATAGTAGTAATATCACTACCAATATGATTAATGAAAGCATTCAAATGATTTTAATGTATGTTCCTATTTTCCCCCTCTTTTTAAAAACAGCTGTGGTGCTTACCTTGTCAGAGCATATGACTGTTACACACTATACTCTCTCTAAGCCCTTATTTAGTTTTGGTTCTACAGGTAACTTTACAAACTTTACATTTAACATTTACCATCAGTCCTCAGTTTCATGTCTCCAGCCATTTCAGTTTTCAGCTCATTCTCTAGTAGATTTCTCATAAAGGGATCAGAAGAACATAATCCCCAAGTCCTTGCACGTTATTAACAGTTGGTATGAGTCCTTTCTACACGGAGGCCAGTTTTGCTATATGTACAAATCCTTAGAGTACTCTTTCTCAAGGGTCTTACATGTTACTCCATCCCTTCCCCACTGCCAGCATTAAAGCACTGCTGTCAGGAATTCTGATGATGATCTAATTTTACTTATATGTCACATGCTCTTTTCTTTTTTGATGTCCCAAAGTTTGTTTTTTTCTTTTTCATTCATAGCTAGTAATTTTACTAGAATTTTCCTTGATATTGTTCATTCTGAGTCCATGTTCTGAATCAGATACATGCTGTGGTCACTTAATATGTAGTTTGAAATCATTTAATGTCAGGAAAGGAAGGAAGTTTCTTGAGTTACAGATTTTCATACTTAGATTTTAGCATTTCCTTGTTGTGGTTTTTCTGAGATTCCTATTATCCAAATACCAATCTTCTTTCCTGTCTTCTATAATTGACATTTTCTCTTGAATTCGTTTTTAATCTCTTCGTTTCCTTTGAAATTTAAGGTTTCCTGTTACACATTCTGTCTCTATTAGGACAGCATTATATGTTGTGTTTCTTTGCTACTGAGTTCCTTCTAGGTTAGTTTGGGCTTTATTGCTAGATGATTGATTTACTTTTCCCAATTCTGATTTGTTTTGTTCTTTCAAGTCGTCTATCAACATTTCAAAATGCTCCTTAGCTTGTCTGAAATTGAAGGTACAATTGTGATCTGTTTTCTGATGTGTCTCCATTTCTGCAGACACCGTTTTCTACTCCTCATTCTCTTTTTTCCCATAGTAACTTTGTATGGGATTCAACCTTGATACTTTCTGACACTCAATTTTTTAATTTTATTAAGATATTTTAGGGTGAAATATAACACACAGAAAAGTGCATGTAATATAAATGTACAGCTTAACAAATTATTAAAAAAGCAAATACTATCTTAAGCATCACTTAAGATTAAGAACTAGAACACTAACCACTTCCCTGAGCCTCCTCACCTTCCCCTTCCAATCAACACCCTCCCAACTCCCTTAGAAGTAATATCTACTATCAGGACTTTATACACCACCACCCCTCGTCTTTTTATTTTTTTTTAAGGAGTTTTCCTATCTAGGTAAGCATCCTTAAACGTTGTTTAGTTTCACCTACTTCTGAATGTCATCAAATGGAACCACATAAGTTGTATTCTTTTGTTCTGACTTCTACTTGTGAAATTCACCTGTGTCACTGTGCACAACTATAGTCTGTTTTCCTGGTGATGTAATATTCCAATGTAAGAATATATAACACAATTTACTTGTCCATTTTACTGCTGATGGACATTTGAGTTGTTTCCAGTTGGAGGACAATATCTATAATTCTGGTAAGTGTGTTGTGGTGAACATGCATGTACAGTCAGCCCTCTGTATTCAAGAATTCCACATCAGTGTATTCAACCAATCAGGGACTGAAAATATTTGGGAAAAAAATTTTTTGAGAAAGTTCCAAAAATCAAAATCCGAATTTGCCACATTCCAGCAACTATTTACATAGAATTTACATTTTACTTATAACTATTTACATAGCGTTTAAGTTGTACATTGTATTATAAGTAACCTAGAGAAGATTTGTAGCATGTGGGAGAATATGTGTAGTACAAATACTATACCATTTTACATAAGGGACTTGAGCACCCATGGATTTTGGTATCTGCAGGAGGTCGTGGAACCAACCTGAGGTTGGTTCTGAGATTGGTATACTGAGGGATGACTGTAGTCAATCTACAGAGTATATTTTTAAGAGTGAACTGTTGGGTGGCCATAGGGTAATTTAACTCAGAATTAGTAGATGGTGCCAAATGATTTTCCTAAGTGGTTGTACTAACTTACAATCTAACCAGAGGGCACGATCTTTCTCTTTTTCTCCTACCCATTCTTCCTCTTTTCCTTTCTTCCATTTACTTATTTATTCATTAACTCACATTTTCTGATCTTCTCTGTACTAGGCCCTAGGTGTCTGTCTTAGTCTGTTTGGACTACTGTAACAAAATGCCACAGACTGGGTAACTTACAAACAACAGAAATACATTTCTCACAGTTCTGGAGGCTGGAAGTCCAAGATCAAGGCATCAGTATAGTTGCTCTCTATTCAGAGCCCTCCTCCTGGTTCATGGCCAGTGCCTTCTCTCTGTCTTCCTGTGGAGGAAGGGCTAGGGAGCTCTGCCAGGCCTCTTTTATAAGGGCATTAATCTCATTCATGAGTGCTGTGCCCTCATGACCTAATCACTTCTCTGAGGCCCCAATATCATCACTTTGGACATTGGGACTTGAGCATATGAATTCTGGAGGGACATAAACATTCAAAACATAGCAGTATCTAATGGTGATTTTTAAAAACTCCAGGTGTGCATCCCTTCAGAGTCCTCTCCCCTCACCCCAAATTCAGGGAACAGAGGGACTGGAAACTTCAGCACTGTCTGGGTCCTCAGAAGGTCTGAGATAGGGTCTGGGGAGGAACAGAGCACCCAAATCCTCCCTCCTGGGAAGCCATGCAGTAGAGTCAGAGTGTGCTCACTAGCCCCTACTGGGGAAATGGCCTCCCCGTCGGACTGAGGGAAGCTTAACCAAGTCCCCTCCCCCAGCACCTGGCCAGTTAAACTTTCAACCACAATGGGAGCTGCCACTAGGTACTGTCCTGTTATTGGAGGCTCAGGAAACTGTTTGTTTTGTATTGTTTTGTATAAGGTAAAATTCATATAATAAAATTCACACAACATAAAATTCCATTGTGTGTACACCACATTTTGTTTATCCATCAGTTGATAGACATTAGAGTTTCTTGCACCTTCTTGGCTATTATGAACATTGATGCTGCTGTGAACATTTGTGTACAAGTTTTGCTTGAACATAGGTTTTCATTTCTCTCAGGTATATACCTAGGAATGGAACTGCTGGGTCATATGCTAATCCTGTTTAGCATTTTAAGAAACTGCCAAATTATTTTCCACAACCAGCAGCTGCACCATTTTACATTCCCACTAGCAATATATGAGGGTTTCAATTTCTCTACATCCTTGCCAACATTATTATTTTTCTTTTTAACAGCCATCCTAGTAGGCATGAAGCGGTATCTTGTGGTTTTGATTTGCATTTCTCTAATAACTAATGATGTGGAACATCCTTCCATGGGCTTATTGGTCATTTGTGTATCTTCTTTGAAGAAGCATCTATTCAAGTCCTTTGCTAATATTTTAATTGGATTGTCTTTCTATTGTTGAGTTGTAAGAATTCTTTATACATTCTGGATACTACACCCTTTTAGATAAATGATTTATAAATATTTGCTCCCATTCTGTGTTGTGTTTTTTGTTTTCTTGATAGTGTCCTATGATGCACAAAAGTTTTGAATTTTGATGAAGTCGAACTTACCTATTTTCTTCTTCTCTTACTTGTGCTTTCAGTGTCATATTTAAGAATCTGTTGCCAAATCTAAGGTCATGAAGATTTTCTCTTATGTTTTCTTCTAAGAGTTTTGTGGTTTTAGCTCTTACATGTAGATCTTTGACTCAGTGCGAGTTAGTTTTCACAAATGATGTGAGGTAGGGGTCCAACTTTACTCCTTTGTATGTGGATATCTAATTACTCCCGTACCATTCACTGAAAAGATTACTCTTTTCCCTGTTTAATGGTCTTGCCACCCTAGTCAAAAATCAGTTGACCACAGATGAATGGATTTATTTTTGGATGCTTAGTTCTATTCCATTGATCTTTATGTCTAGCCTAATGCCAGTACCACATTGTTTTTATTACTATAGTTTTGTAAGTTTTCAAATCCAGAAGGGTGGGTACTCCGATTTTGTCCTTTTTCAAAATTGTTTGACAATTTGGGGTCCCTTGCAATTCCATATGCATTTTAGGATCAGCTTGTCCGTTTATGCAAAAAAATGGAAGCTGCCATTTTGATAGGACTGCATTGACTCTATAAATCACCTTAGGGGAGGGCTGCCATCTTTACAGTTTTTGGCTATTACATTTCTATACACATTTTAGAATCATCTAATCAATTTCCAATTACGAACGTCCATCTACTTTCACTGCTGATGGTCTTCCTCCTTAAAGCTTTCCTACGTTTGTTATAGAGGACATCCACAAACTCACTCATGTATCAAACCACTGGAAAGGTTAGTGCTTCCTTCTACATTAGAAAATTTCCTTCTTAGAAGAGCAAGCTGAAATTACAGTGAACATAATTCCTCTCAGCTTCTAAGGAAAAATAACATATAAATTTATAAATTCATGAAAATAATAATTTTCCTATTCACAAGATAAAGAAATTGTCTTACCTGAATAGCGAAAGTACCAACTCCACCTGAAGCACCCAAGATTAAGACACTGCAATGCAAAAGAAACTACAACTAATGAAAATATTAAGCCAACATAACTGGATACATAAACAAGATGTTTTCAACATGGAACTGGCTCAAAGATAATCCCCAAAGCAAACAAAGTCATTCAGCCTCCCAAGATTCTATTACACACAGCTTTTTATTTGAGGTTCACCAAGAAGCTAAACATGCTTAAAGTCAGATATACTATGAGCTCTTTACCAAGAATACAAAATACCAAAAATACCAATGATTCATATTTTTTAAAGTAGCTCAGACGGTTCCTGGTAACATCTGCCTTGCAATTTTCCTAGGCTTAAATTACCATAGCTTTCTCTGAAAGAGGGAGCTCTGGGATCTTCTTAGTGTGTTAGAGTATATTCAGTTGCTCTCTAAGAAAAATCACATTCCTGACCGCATTCCTGCCAAAGGAGAATAAAAGTCTTTTGTTCAGACATGTCCCATCACGCTAGTCAGCTTTCATAAATGGAAATCAATCTTATCCCCAATCTGGCTTCTTGTTAAAGCAGATGAGTGTCCTATCAGCACAACCATCCTTGAGCTCCAGGTTTTTACCACGTTTGCTTACAGCAGCCTTCCTGCCACTCTAGAGAAAGGGTGTGCAGCCCGGAGTTTGTGGATGAGTTGGGGTGGGGGAGGAGTTGTGAGGGTGTGAACCCTCCTGAAAATCTGAACTGACCGACATAATATGCAAAATTCAGTGTGACCATGCACGTGTGCACTGGGTGGAGGAGAGGCACCCAGACTTGCCAACAATTTCCCAAAGAAGGTGTGATTCCGAAGACAATCAATAGTCAAGAATCACTGCTTTACATACTCTTACAAGTTACTCCTGAATTCAGCTCGAGCTCCAGTGAACTGCCTTCCTCAGACCGCACAAATTCAGGGCCTCAGAAAACTGTACTGAGCTGGGCTTTGGTGTTAGGTTACCAGTCTAGGCTGAGGAACATTATAAAAAGTGATTGTTTGATATCTGACACTATGGCAGCTAAGGAGATATTGTTGAGGAATTCTTCACCAGAATTCTGTGTGCACTTCTATTCATCTGCCACTGCAAATTGTGTAAGTGCAGGTTGTGGCTCCCGCTTGGACTTGGCTGCTAAAGAGTGCAGAGAATTTTGCCACTGATCTCAGGCAGGTCCACGCGATCTCAGAACATGCATTCTGTCTCCAGTCTTAATGCTAGTTTCATTTTATTCTTTTCTCTCTTACCCCAATAACAGAAAGCTGTTGTCCCTTTAGATCTTAAAAGTTACTAGGAAAATTTCTGAGCTAGCTATTTCCTTTGAAACGAATACCATCAAATGTAATTAAGACAAGTCTCTTTGAAAATGATGCTCCTTCTAGAAGAGTTACTTTTAATTTCACAGAATTACAAACTGTGAAGAATAAAAGAAACTTTAAAGATCAACTCCTCCAAAATCCTCAATTCACATTTGATAGCTTTAATGCTTCCTAAATTGGGGGTAGGGGGCATTAAAACTGCCTCACAGATATATCCAAAAATTAATTCATCCATGGACTATTTTACCCTCTCACTCTGGCACATTCTTATAGAAGTGTGAGTAGTCAAGCTCTCATTTAAGTTCTTCACAATCTAATCTTTATCTCACCTCGGAACTCCTATTTCCAGAACTCTCCACGTTAGCCCCCCCGGTCCTCTCACTCTAACCCCCAAGTCCCAAGCATACTGGCCCATTCCTCTGGCTCTCAAATGCCTTCACACTCCCTTCCCTTGAAGGCTCAAGTCCCAGTTTGCCTGCACAATATCCTAGAGATGGTCCTCAACCTGATATCCATGCCATGCAATTGGCATTTGGCACAAATTATTAATGTTGACTCATAAGCTTGCTTCCCAAGCTATTCTGCAGTATGAGGACAGAGACCTCACGTTACAGCCAGCACCAGCCATTCTAACTACCCTGGGTGCAGCAGATGTCTCGTCAATGTTTCTTGACTTTAAAAATCGGAATCAGCATTGTATCCTATAATTAATGACAACTGCTACTACCCCAAATGAAGGAATCAACTGGCTATCTGAAAGACTGCATTAAAGTTTTTTCTAGTAAAGCTTGAAATTAATTTCTATTCTCTCCCTGAGAATCTTGGCTTAAGAGGACAACAAATACAGTGGCTGCTTAAGGATCCAACTGCCAGACACATCTCCAACCTCACTATCGTCAGTTCATCGCTTCCCCATAACTCTTGATCCAGAGTAGCCTCATTCCTCCCATAAAAAAGCAAAAACATCTTTCTCAGCAGTGCATTAGCAGCTTCAGTTCCTGATGTGGCCACTAGATGGCGCCAGCAAGTGCAAAACAGGCAAGGAGCAAGCCCAATAAAGGGCTACATCTGGTAGGTCCGCGTATAAGGAAGCCCTAGGGAGTACCACTCTCTGGTCCTGCAAACTCCGTGTTTTGTGCAGGTTCAACCAGGGCCTGTATTTTTCATTAAACAAAGTCCCCAAAGAGGGACAGCAGGCAAATTTTCAAGCTAGCAGTAAGTCTGCTGGTCGTCTGTGGCTGAACTATTCTTGCTGTACTCTTCAATGCACTTCCAAGACAAAGGGAAAATACCGCTGCTGCTTACTCCCAGCGGCCCTTCATTTACGTGCTTTACAGTGAGAATACTTTCAACCCAGCCTGCCAGAAGGGTCACAAGATACATTCAAACCTCACTGAAGTAGAAGTCTATTTGTTACAGTGAAGAGAGATGTGCTCTACTGCTTATCCATTTACACAGAGCAAGCGCCCAGGAGATCTCTATTTGCAAAAAGCGCTATAATTCAAAATTGCCAAGATTTTTAATCACATTTGCTCTCTTACTTCCTAAGTCCGTATGCATAGCTTCTTTTGAAGTCACTGGGAATTGCACTGTGGCAGATATAAAAATATGGGGGAAGTATGAGTAATTATCACACCGCTTACATGTTTTAAATCCTAAAATCTAATTTTCTCTGCATTTCTGCCCAGTCTCTGAATTCTCCCTAAACACACTTTAACGCACTAAGGCATGACTTCTATTCGATGATCGCATCACTTTATATTTAGCATTTTGGGCACCTAAGCCCTCTACAATCACATTTTGCAGTATTTCAATCTTATGAGGCAAGGTATCAACACCCTAACCACCTTACAAATAAAAAAAATATGAAACATACTACAAAACAGCAGGAGATCCAGAGGTAGGGAATCATCTTTCACATTTCCATATTCTGGCTAAGCCGCAGAAATCTCTGAATCCGGGGCTGGGTATCTAAAGACCTCGGTTCTAGTCTCAGCTCGCTCATTAACTGAATCTTTAGAAGTCAGATTCATCATCTATGAAATGATGATCACAGAGGTGTATTCTACGAGTTAATGAATAAGAACTGGCATTTTCTTTTTCTTTTTTTTTTTTTTAACATTTTTTATTGAGTTAGTCATTTTACAATGTTGTGTCAAATTCCAGTGTAGAGCACAATTTTTCAGTTATACATGAACATATATATATTCACTGTCACATTTTTTTTCACTGTGAGCTACCACAAGATCTTGTATATATTTCCCTGTGCTATACCGTATAATCTTGTTTATCTATTCTACATATGCCTCTCAGTATCTACAAATTTTGAACTCCCAAAGAACTGGCATTTTCAATCTAATTTAAGCTTGTATTTAATTTTTCCACCTTTCTAAAATAGAAGTATATGACCTTCACGATTCTCCCCAGACCACATTCTTGCAGTGGGGGGAAAAAGCCACATCACAAGAGTAGACTACCCTTTATGAAGCACTAATGGCTCAGAAACAAAGCTGATTTAAATATGGCTAAATCTTCCATCAGTAGAAACAAAAGGTCTTTAAAAAATAAGGGCGATGCTGGAAAGTATAATCTTCCTTTTTAGTTTCACTCACACATTACTTCTAAATCTGGGGGGGAAATGGGTGAATGATAACAAAGTATATCATCATATGCTAAATTATTCCCTTAAGTAAGTGAGCAACTTAATCTGAATAAGTGGAATAGAGCTATAAAACTAATCAACCAAACACGACCAAGACAGCCTGGACTTGTGTGTCCCCTTCTCCTGAGCCTCTGTAATTCATGCAGACATTCCCCAATTTACAGAAGAGTTCAGTGTGACTTAGTTGTTTGGAACTTTAAACACATTTTCCCATGAAAATAAAGCTATTTATATATCTTGGCAAGGTGCCCAGGGTAGCCGTTTAAAAAGGTTTAGTTAACCCATAATGGACCAAGAACCTTATACACAGTATAACAATGGTTCTGTGGGAAATGTATTCAGAATTTCAACCCAGGGTGCTGGGAACACATCTCCCCGAATGGGACAGGCTGCACGAACCATCCCAAGACACTGGATCTTTCAATCTGGTGCAAAACAGAGGGAAGGAAGGCAGACAGAGGGAAGGATCCTTTATCATGGCAACACTAGAGAGGATGAGAGAAGTTGCATGCTCAGAGAAGGATTTCCCATGGACTGACAGAGTTCGCACATGCTACCCCAAAATATGACACCTTGGCAGATGGAATACTTAAAGCTGAAGCAATTTTGAGAAACGGCATATGCAGGAAGGACTCTCTGACCTTCTCCCATGAAGCTGGACACGAGAGCCTCATGTGAAAGGTGTCCTCTCTGTACCTGGAGGAAAGGAGCATCCTCATCTCCAAGATGGAAGGATGCAGCAAGGAACAGAATGAACAGGCCTTGCTAAGGTTTTCCAGTTTACTACACTCTGCGCATGCATTGCCCCACATTTTTTCATGACTCTCCACTCTTCATTAAAGGTAGCGTAAAATCCTTCAGGTTTAAAAACAGAAATAGACTTACAGATACACAGAGCAAACAGTGGTTGCGAGAGGGGAGAAGGGTGGAGGTTGGGCAAAATAAGTGTAGGGGATTAAGAGATACAAACTTTCAGTAATAAATAAATCACAGGGATGTAATACATAGTATAAGGAACAGTATTATACACAGTATAATAC